CTGTAAGCTGGGTTGCCCTTTCCAAAGGCAGAGTGCTCACCCGTTTGACGCCTGGGGTCGTCGTAGGCGAGCAACTGACCACCTCGTCGAGAGGCATGCTCTGATGGGGCTGCTTGCCTCCATTCGCGTGGGAGCCGTGCTTGAGGGCGAGGGTCGCCCCTAAGGCGTGGATGCGAACGAGACCTCCTGGCATGTTCATCAGATAATGCCGCCGACGTAGCCTGAGCAGGAGCCGGCGGGGGTTCCTGCGGGGCCGCAGGCGGCGCACCTTGGGCAGGCAGGTCTCCCTGCTGACTGGAGTCAAGCATAATTTGCTCTTGTGCGAGTGGTGGTGCGTCAGGACTGTCTGGGTCATAGTCCACCTCCTCGTCTTTACCATTGACTTCCATCATGAGGATGGTGGTCTCGTCCTCGCACATTCCACATCCATCATCTTCTTCAACTTCTGACATAGGGTTGCCAATGACAATGGTCATTGGCCCAGCCGGGACTGGCAGGTTTCCCTGCTGTACAAGCGTCTGAGCATCGCTTGGCTGCCCCGGAGTCGGCGGTACGGTAGTCGGCTCAGGCTCGTTACCGAGCATAGCGCGCGCCTCGAGCTGATCATAGTCATATGAGGGCTGCCCGATAACATGTCGCATGGCCGTGTGGTTGGGCTGTAGCCCCGCCGCCTGGAGACCCCATCCTGGCGGAGGGAGAGCCTGCCCACGCATGGAGATGGCCCTTTCAAGGGCTTGGCGCCATCTCCCTCTAGACTACCACATGTCGCTGCACGTCCTCAGGGCGTGCGCTGTCGATGAGAGTAAGGGCCGCTAACAATAGCTCCGAGTCGTCACAGGCATCGGTGTCTTGTAGCATCATGTGGCCACTCTCGACACTCTCTTGGCTCTCGGGATATGCTACGACCAGTACAGCGTGCATCTGCATGAGAGTCTGCAGTGTCGCGTGCGGTCCGTACTCGCCTGGCGCGAGCATGCCAGGTGGCACGCGTGGGTTTCCTGGCACGCCCACGGTGAATGCTTGAGCCTCTAATTCCTTGAGATCACCATGATTTGGAGGATATACTGGAGTGGGCCTGTTTCCAGGCATGAGGTCGGGTTGACGTCGAAGGTTGCGGTCCACCTCCGAAGGCGAGGCCTCAACAGTGACTTCCTCGTCGCTGCTCTCGTAGGCCATGATGTTGCCTGGGTTGCCGAACATCCAGTCGAAGAAAGAGATGGGCTGGTTTCCCAGCGTTCCGTTCTCCACAAACGTAAGCTCGATATTTCCGAGAACAAACCTGCGGAGGTACTCGAGGTAGTACGCGTAAAGCCCATGGCCGCACGCACGCCTCGAGCTCATCCAAATTGTCCATACTGCTAGCCCAAGTGAAAAATATCTGTTCCACAGCCTCGAAGTCTTGGAGGCTCAGATATTCAATAGACGGTTCACTTGAGCCTAAATGAGCTTCGGTCGATCCACCCTTTCCATTTCCCTTCGCTGGACAAGCATTTACAAGATGATCGGCACTATCACACTCATGGCACTTTAAGATCTGGCCGTCTCTACCTCGCGGGTTTCCCCGCCTACCTTTACCTTTGCCTGGGGTCTCCCCGCGGCCTTTTCCACTGCCTTTTCCCCCGAACAATATCTCATCATACTGATCATCTGAAAGCCTCTGGAGGAAAGCCGAGATGCTTCGTCCGTTCAACCTTCGGCGACCCCGTTTGCCTTTACCTTTTCCTTTGAAGCTCCTCCGTATCCTCCTCCTAACACGACGCACTGGTCCTCGTGTAAACCTCCTCCACCTACGCTTTGCTTGTTGTAATGGCCAGAACAGGTGTTCGGCGCGCTGATTGCCCCCTTCCATTTGCATGGTATCTGACCAATCTAGGGGTTCGATACAATTTGGTGATATAGTGTCGGTGTCGGTGCCGGAGTCAAAGTCGTCGTTACCTAAGTAGGTGGATATCCCATCATTTAGGGGATTCGCTTCACCCCATAGGGAACGGTGGGGTTGAGGCTCTCTAGGAGGAGGGCTGGTTGCCCAGCTCGGTTGTGATCGATCCCCTGCTAGTAGAGCAGTAGATTATCCAGGATCGTCGGCCCATATGTTTGAGGGCCCGTTGCCAGGCTGAGCTTCAGTGGTTAAGGTAGTATAGAAGTTTCCACTGCCAGTTCCCCTTCCCCTTCCAATCACTGATCCTATGTTGCCAGGAGACCGTTCTGACAAATGGCCTATAGAGCGCATCCTCTCACACAGTTCGTCGCGCTGCTGTTGTGTTCGGGGCATTTGGTGGTTGAGTGGCTGTAAGAGTTGCATGGCTCGCTGGTTGCCAACGCCTAGGGCGCGGAACAGGATAGTCGTGAGCAGTTGGAAGTTGGGAAGGTCAAATCCCAACCACTGTGCCTCAAGACGGGCCATCTCGAACCGAGTAAGGGTTGCATCGATTCGTTCCCCGTGAGGCACGCGGAAGTCGATGAGCTGAGTGCCTGAAGCGAGCTGGCGCTCATCTTCCAAGCGTTCGAACTTCATGCTTAGGAGGAACATAATATAGGTTACTGGGTCGGTGTGGACACCATCGATGTCCGCACCATAGTTTATAATGTCAGGTGGTACCCTCATGGCGAGTGTCTTCGCTAGGCCACCCAAACCGCGTTGTATGGCAGCTGCTTGGGCTTGTGGCGTCATGCGTCCGCTTGTGACGTGAAGCCACGCGTTGACCTCATAAACGTATTCGCGGAAAGGTACGTTGCCTTGAGGGTCCCAGTATGGGCCATGTGTCTGCCCATCTGTGCTATTGTCTCCTCGGCGCGTGCGTCCGATTGCTGCCCCCAGCGCAAACCATATGATGGCGAAGATAACCAGCCCAAGGCTGTGAAGATATGGGTGGTTATCAGGCGCGTTGCCGCGCTGGGGTAGGGCTTGTAACGCCTTGTCAAGTCTACGAGGCGCTTTATCTTGCGGGTCTCCCCGCCTATGCTTCAAGTGCTGCGCTTTTGGCTCGTTGCCGAGCGGTTGGTAGTAGCGTAGTGATGAAGCGTATATGGTACCAATGTTGTTGTCTAGACGTCGTGCCTCTCGTGTTGCTTCTTGCTCTTGAATTGATCCTCGTGAATGTAGTTGGAGTGGTGGCGCAGGGTAGAAGTTGGTCACGAAGATCGCGCCGGATAGCGTGAGGATAAGAAGAGCAAGAGCTGACCACGCGAGAGCGCGGCCAGCTCCGCTACCAAGTCTGAAATGACTCTGGCAGGTCATATAGCATCCAATTCCATGTCGAAGGAATACGATATGGGGAGTGGATGGAGAAGATAGGATAAGATCGATGTAATGATCTTTCCAACACATAGCGAACACTGAGTCCGGCCAGATAGGGCGCGCGTGCCTTGAGCCAAAGGCAGCGGCGCGCAGGCTATACTCCCGATCCTCTATAACATCTCCCAAAGAGCTACCCTTAAAGTGGTTGCTTTGGAAAGGTTTTAGAAGGTGTTTGGAACAAAAAAACCGTCCAAAAACCTTCCTAAAACCTTCCTCTGAAAGGTTCCAGGATTCCCCGAACCTTCCGACAAAAAAAAACTGATCTAAAACCTTCTTCAGGAAGGTTCCAGGATTCCTGGAACCTTCCCAAAACCTGCCGAAAAACCTTCCTCACTAAGGTTTTTGGAAGGTTTTTGGGCCAACCCATCCTGGAACCTTCCTGAGGAAGGTTTTCGTAAGGTATTCGGAAAGGTTTGTCGGATGTTTATGTTTGAAGGCTTTTGGAAGGCTTTTGTTTTGAAAGATTTTTGGAAGGTTGTTGGAAGGTTGTTTGGGTTTGCTTGCTTGTCTTGTTTTGGAAGGTGTTTGGGAGGTCTTTTGGGAGGGCTTTGGGAATGTTTTGGGCGGTTTCGCAAAATGCTGAAAACATTTTAGGAAGGTTTTGGGAATGTGTTTTTTATATAAAAAAGGTTTTCTTTTTTTGAAAGGTTGTTGGACGGTGTTAGGGAAGGTGTTTTGAAGGTGGTTTTGAAGGTTTTTGGAACAACCCTCCTAAAACCTTTCTAAAATCTTCCTCCGGAAGGTTCCAGGATTCCCGGAACCTTCCGAAAAACCTTTCTAAAACCTTCCTCTGGAAGGTTCCAGGATCCTGGAACCTTCCAAAAAACCTTCCTGAAACCTTCCTCACGAAGGATGTTGGAAGGTGTTTGGGCCAACCCCTCGTGATGAGGAAGGTTTTAGGAAGGTTTCAGGAAGGTTTGTTGAAAGGTTGTTGGAAGGTGTTTGGAAAGTTGTGCTGGAAGGTTTGGGAAGGTTGTTGGAAGGTTGCTGGAAGATGTTTAGAAGGTTTTTTGGAACACCTCCTGTTGTTCTCGTTGTTGTTTTAGATTACTTTCTACATAAAAAACGTCCTAAAACCTTCCTCAGGGAGGTCCCAGGATTCCTGGAACCTTCCAAACAACCATCCGAAAACCTTCCTCAGGAAGGTTCTAGGATTCCTGTAACATTCCAAAAAACCTTTCGGAGGAAGGCTTTAGGAAGGTCTTAGGAAGGTTGTTTTGGAAGGTTGTTGCAAGGTTTTTGAAATGTTTGTTTTGGAAGATTTTTGGAAGGTTATTGGACGGTTTGTGCTTGTTTTGTTTTCGAAGGTTGTTTGGAAGGTTTTCGGAAGGTTTTGGGCGGTTTCGCTAAATGCTGGAAGGTGTTAGGAAGGTTTGTTTGGAAGGTGTTTGAAGGTGTTTGGAAGGTTATTGGAAGGTTGTTGGGAAAAACCTTCCTAAAACCTTCCTCAGGAAGGTTCCAGGATTCCTAGAACCTTCCAAAAAACCTTCCTAAAACCTTCCTCAGGAAGGTTTCAGGAAGGGTTGGCCGAACTGCCGCACCCAACTGAGGCGCCGTGACGTAACGGCGGCAGGCCACAGTAGAAATATATAGAAATGTAGAAGTATAATTCGGTGGGGCTCCCAGGCGAGAGCGCCCATGGCCATTCCTCCTCCTCCTCCTCCTCCTCCTCCTCCTCCTCCTCCTCCTCCTCCTCCCCCATCCCTCCTTTCCAGTCCTCCCGCCGCCCCTGAACCAGCGCTTGGCCAGAGAGCCTGCCGCGGTCTACTGGGACCCTAGCCGCTCCAAGGGCAATCACAGAGAGATCTTGGTGCTGGCGCCACTTCGCATGGCGTCCGAGCCGCGGTGTGCTCTGCAGCGGAATGGGCGCCCTGTGTCCCCCAATAAACTTCCATGGCCTTCCGCTGCATGCGACGCCGCTGTGACCTGCCGATCGACTGAGGCTTTAAGGACATGCGCGAACCATCCGAGCTGTCGGTCCCACACTTCTCCGAGCTCCTGCCAGCCTGCTGCTTGGCGTCCTCCTCCTTCGGCAGACGGCCTCCCCCGAATTCTCCCACCCAGGAGTTCCCTCCGCTGCTTGCCACCTCCGCCGTTGAGGACGATGTTGCGTCAGAGGTGGGATCCGACTTGGGGCGGTCTCCCACGGTGACGTAGTCGATCCAGGGCGACGGATGGTCCAGGAAGGTGTTCTTGGAGGTCAAGCCGTTCGGCAGCTTGGCCGCCACCGGCGCCAGGGACCCCTGAAGGCTCATTGTCCGTGGAGTCGCGCGCGGCTCGGCCCAGACCAGCTTGAGTCAGAATGGCTGCGGAGGGTCAAACTTAGAAAAAACAAAAAGCATAAGCACAAACTTTTCGAGCTCCGCGCGGACTTCTTGGATCTGCGCTGGACCCCCCCCCATGCGCGCGGAGCGCGCCAGGGGCGGCGCCGGAAGCGCCGCCAGGGGGGCCCAGCGCGGATCCAAGAAATCCGCGCGGAGCACCACAAGTTTATGTTTATGGCTTCTTCCTTCGTCGATCGAAAGTAGCTCCAGCTTTGAGAAGCTATCCCGAGGCCCTGTTTGGGCCCTCGTGGGCCCGCTCGGGGCCCTCCCGGAGCCTGCCTCTTGGGGGCATCTGGGGGCCGCTGCCCGGCCTGCGGTCCGCTGCTGCCGCCGGCTGCGCCCCGATGGCACTGGGCAGGCCATGGCCGTGGTTTGCCGAGGCCGCTCCCGAAGACTCACCACGGGGTGCCGAGGCGAGGCCGCGGACGTGAGCGCTGTCTTCTTCGGCGTTTCGACACTGGATGGAAGGGGGGGGTCTGGCTCTGGACCTCTGCTTGATGCGACAGCTTGGAACCGTGCGTCCTCTGGGGAAGACCCCACTTGCTCGAAATACGCGCCCACAACAGCCAACCAAGATCTACTCCATGTGTGGGGGGGACCAGAGCCCGCGCCGATCACAGCGAAACAAGGAATTAGAAACCGAACATCATGGAGTTCGCGGCCGCCTGCTTCAGACTCGCGGGACCACGAGGTCGAGCACGAGCAACAACGGGCCACGGACTCCGAGGCGCTGCGCCGGGGGGCCTCCGAGAGGGGGAGAGCGGCCAGCAGCCCTCAGCAGCGTGCCTTGTGTTGCTGCGGCGAGAAGGAGGAGGAGGAGGAGGAGGAGGAGGAGGAGGAGGAGGAGGAGGCAAGTGGAGGAGGAGGAGGGGGAGGAGGAGGGGAGTGAGGAGGAGGGGGAGGAGGAGGAGGAGGAAGAGGAGGAGGAGCAGGAGGAGGAGGGTCCACGGAGGGGCCGCGAGCGTGAGCGGGGCCGCACAGGGGGGGGGGGGACGAGGCGCCACGGGCCACGAGCTGCTGCCTGGTGCCCTGCAGCCCCAGCAGGGGCCCACGAGGCCCAAAAGGGTCACAGCCCGAGCGTAAAAGTACCTCCCTCCTCATTCATCATAAGCCCTCAAGATCTACTGACATCCGTCCCTCCGAAACAGTACATAATAATCACCCTGCCTGTCCTCACTCCACAAACTGACTCAGACACTTCACTTCCTCCACTAAATCATCCTCATCCTCCTTCCGCTCCTGCCTCCTAATTCACTACAATACTCATCACAACGCGCCCGATCTGCAGAGAAGTACCTTGCCTACCTCCCCCTTCCTCCGCCCCCTTACTACTACCCCCCCTCCTCCTCCCCCTCTCCCCCGCCTCACACCTCTCCTCTGTCCTCTCCATATTCCCGCCCGAAAAATTAACTCCCTCCAAAACTCGTGGCTCCGCTGGGAGGAAACGCTCCTTCTGTGGAGCGCGCTGAGATCTGGCATCCTCGAGGAGACACTCTTTCTTGATCAACGCCTGGGCCGCCCCCAGACCCCCGACGCAGTGTTTTTTCTTACGACGTGGACCCCCAAAGACCCCCGACCCCTTCCCTGGACCGGCTTTTCCTCCCGAGCCGTTCTGTGGCGGCCCCTGGGGCCCGTTGAGGGCCGCCGGGAGGTGCAAAGCTGCCCCGAACTTCCCGCCCGGCTTTCTGGTGCCCAGTGGTGCCCAAAGGTTTCCCTGAGCGCACGTCCGAACCGACCATATATATATTATATATATATAATGTATACACCAGGAGTGAGTGACATTGTGGTACACACATACTGTCATTACGCAGTTGTAACATACAAGTATACAAAATGCAGCATGCCACATACATCAGGCCTCCTACGACAGGCAGGACAGCATAAGACATAAATACACAAATCATAGTGCATACATACACGAGGCCGTTCACACAACATACCTACACCGACATACACACATTACATGCATGAATGCATAAAAACATACATGATGAGCAAATTCATTCCTCTTTCATTTCATTCATGCAGCATCCATCCATACCATCCTGCTGCATACCAACATGTATGCATACATACATACACACCATACGTATTATACATACATGATTTTTTGGGGGCCCGTGGGTTTTTTTTCTTTGGCCCCTGCATGCATGAGTGCATGCATGCATGCATGCATACCTACCTACATACCTACCTACCTACGTACATACATACATACATACATACATACATACACACACATACATACATACATACACATACACACATATGTACATACATACATACATACATACATACATACATACATATATACATATATACATACATACATACATACGTACATACATACATACATACACACATGCACAAATACCTATATACATACACACATACATACACATATATACGTTATATACCTATACATGTACCTATATATATATATATACATATACATACATCATCATGATCACAGACATCTCATCATCAGCGTGGTCGTAGATATCGTCGTCAGAATCATCAAAACCATCAGGATCACCATCACCAGCATCATCGTCACCTTCGTCATCATCATCGTCATCATGTATGAGGGCCCATCGGGGAGCTGCCCGGCAAGCATTTTCGGACGCATGGTTGGGGCGGGGGGCGTAAGCCTGAGGAGCCATGTTCCCGCAAGGCTTCCTGGGAACATGATTTGTTGGGGGTGTCGTTGGGCGCCTCCGGAGGCTTCGGGGCCTGACGCGTTTTTAAGCGTGGCGGCAGGTAGCGCTGCTTGGGACTCTCGTTTTTTTCCTGGCAGGCGTTTAAGGAGCACGGTTTGGGCAGAGGGCGGCAACCCGAGAATCATGTTCCCAGGAAGCTTTCCGGGAGAATGATTTGCTGGGTTCTCTTAAGAGGGGAGTCTCTGGGGGCTGACCGAGGGGCCCCTTTTGGCCTTGTCGGCAAGCCTATTGGAAACAAAATTGGGGCGGTGGGCGGAAGCCCAAAGAATCATGTTCCTGGAAAGCTGTGTGGGAAATGCGATTTACCGAGGTGCCTTGGGGGCCCGCAGCGGGTTTCCTTGGGGGCCTCTTGGGGGCCTATTGGGGCTTCCCGGGGGCCTCTTGGGAGCCTCACGGGGCTTCTTGGGAGCCTCTTGATGGCCTCCGGGGGCGTCCTAGGAGCCTCTGAGGCCGGAGACATGGAATGTCGCGCTCTTCGGGCCCTCTTGGGTCGCTCATGGGGCTCTCTTGCTGGCTGTCTTTAGGGCGGGGTTTTGGAGCTCAACTGACTCGCTCGGTTTTTGCATCATCGTCATCATCGTCGTCATGATCCTCATCATCGTCCGCGTCATCGCCATCATCATCACCATCTCCTCATCACCGTCGTCATCATTATATCCATCATCATCTCCTCGTCGTCGTCATCATCATGTGGTGGCGATGATCAAATGATGACGTTGATGATGATGCTGATGATGACGATGATGATGAAGCCGATGATTGTGATGATGATGGCGATGATGATGATTACGCTGACGATGATGAGGATGACGATAACCTTTTTTCGGGCTGCGCGGGCCGCACGGAGTATTGTCGCATTCTAATCGGATTCGGATGCTGTTGCAGTCTAATCGGAATCGGAAAGCACCTCGGCCTCCGTGGAAGCGGGCCACCGCATTTCGTCAAGCACCTCCGTGAGGTCGCGCAGCGCCACGGGGGCCCGTGCCAGGTGATCGGCCACGACGTGGTTCACGACGGTGAAGAACTCCTTCGGGCCAGGCGTGGCGTCGATCCTGCGCGCCCTGTACTCCCGAAAGACGTCGGAGCGGATCATCACGGCGATCTGCAGCCTGCGGTCTTCTACGTGCTGTTGCAGCTCGTGGTGGGTCGCGAAACAGTCCTGGCAGGCCGCGGAGGCGTGGCGGTGCACGTTGCGCTCGAGGGAGGACAGGGTGCCCATGTAGAAGGACCCAGGCTTTTGCTCGAGGGTGACGAACCTTCCGCAGGAGGCTGTGCTCGAGGGCGACGCCCCATGTGCTCCCAAGACCCCTGGCATCCTCACTTGCACGGAGCGCGTCCCGAAAAGCGTCACGGCCGCGTGCAACAGGGATCATCCGCCATCTGTGTGCAAACCATCGTCCCGTGCGCCTGGTTGCATGAGCTGGATCGATGCGTACGCGAACGCGTTGTCGGCGAAGTGCTCTGTCATGATGGGCTGTCCGTTCTGCTCGGCGATGGCATCTGGCACGCCGTCGGCTATGACTGCCTCGCGCATTTTGTCTCCCAGCTGTTGCAGCCACGGGCGCATCCTTCTTCCGCGCCGCTCGCACGAAGGCGGCGAGGTGGGCCGAAGGGATGACCTTCAATTTCGTGTCCTTGTTGAGGCTGCGGCACTTCGGGGGGCTTTCGTCGTCCACGATGCCTGGGGCTTCTGTTTTGAAGCCCTTTGCCGCCTCGTCGCCTCGGACGCATTTGGAGACGGTTGCCCCCGTGTCCAGGCGCTCCTTGGCCAAGTTGTGCAACAGTTGTGCCAGCGCGGGTCTCTCTGCAAGAAGCGGAACAAATCTGGGTCCAGCTCCGCCTCCGCTATCGTGCCCGCGCCGTTTTTTCCCTGCGCCATGGAGATGCGCACGTCGAGCTGGGCGCCAGCCAGCTGCAGGAAGCGACGCGCCCTTAGACGGCTGGTTGTCGCTCTGGCGCCAGGGTGCCAAAGCAGGCAGCTCTCGGCGGCCTTCAACAAGTCTGGGGGGCAGCCTGCAAGTTCGGAAACGTGCCAGCGCCCTCGGCCGTCGAGTGGCTTCGCTGTTTCAGCCTTAAGCCAATCCTCGCCCGATCGCTCGAACCACTTCTTAAAGAAAGGCAGGTTGTCCAGCCGCGGGGCGGGGTCCTCGTAACCGTAGTCTCCGGGCCCTGGCTCCTCGCCTGGGATCCCCAAGACCCCCCTGAAGGTATCCACGAAGTCTTCCGGGCGCACCCATGGCTGCCCGATCGCGCCGAAAGGCTCTGGTTGGAACAACACCTGGCGCGTGTGCAACTCCGCGATCAGGCACCCGATTGACCAGATGTCCAGGTCCTCTGAGTAGCGCTGGTTCCCCAAGAAAACGTCTACCGCTCTGTGAGCGGGCGCGCATACTCCGAGGTCATCGCAGGTCGGGCTCTAGCGCAGTTTCTTCCTCAACCTGTCGTGGGAATCCGCCATCTCCACACAGCCGAGGTCGCCGATCACCACCTGCGGAGAGGGGCGGATGGAGGAGAGGGGAGCGACGGGACTGAGCTCCCCCTGGAGGGAAGGGCGGGATAGAGGGCACGACGACGGCATCTCGGGGGAAGAGTGGAACCTCCCTTGTTAGAACTCGGTGTGAGACCTAACATGAAGGCTAGTGAGGTGCAACATGATAGGCTGAGCTCTGACCTCGTATATTAGGGCTCCGTCGGAGCTCTAACATGCTATGTTAGAGCTCCATGGGAGCTCTAACACGCTATGTTAGAGCTCCATCGGAGCTCTCACATGCTATGTTAGAGCTCCCTGGGAGATC